TCTACCTCTACCTCTACCTCTACCTCTACCTCTACCTCTACCTCTACAAAACTCCAGTGGCTTCTGACCTGTTGAGACTCCAACAGCAACTGCTTAAATCTAAAAAAAACTAAAATCTAGAAATCCTGGTCAGTGAGAGCTGGCCACACCCACCCAGGTTGCTTCTATTGTTCCAACTCTAAAAAAACACAAGGCCTCTCGAACGGTTTACCTTATGGGTCTTTATGAGCCAGCTTGGTACTTCTGTCTTAAAACCTCTTTTTGTTTGAAAAGGACAAAATAACCTCTTAAAGCCATAGCATTGTCACAGAATAAACAAAATTATTTTCTACTGCAGTGTAGGAGGTTGAGGGGTGACCTTATAGAGATATATTAAATCATGGAGGAGCATGGATAGGGTGAATAGTAAAAGGTCTTTTCCCCAGGGTAAAGGAGTTCAAAACTAGGGGGCATTTTTTTTTAGGAGAGAGGAGAAAGATTTAAAAGAAACCTGAGGGGCAATGCTTTCACACAGAAGGTGGTGTGTATGTGGAGTGAATGGCCAGAGGAAGTGGTAGACGCAGGTACAGTTACAACATTTAAAAGACATTTGGACAGGTACATGAATAGGAAAGGTTTAGCGGGATATGGGCTAAACTCAGGCAAATGTGATGAGTTTAGTTTGGGAAACTTGGTCAGCATGGACTAGTTGGACCGAAGGGTCTGTTTCCATGCTTTATGGAACTCTTCCACAGTTATATTAAATGTTGCACAAACAAAAAACATCTCAAAATGCTGGGACAACCAAGAAAGTGCATCTGAACTGAAGTCACTGTTGTGATGTAGGAAATACAGCAGTCAGTACGAGCACAGCAAGATCCCTAAACAACAATGAAATAACAACCAGACAATCTGTTGTTGTTGCTATGATGTTGGTTGAGGATTTGGGAGGGGGGTGGGGGGGCGGTGGTGGTGGGGGTGTGTGGTGGTGGTGGCGGCGGTGGTGGGGGAGCGTCCCCATGCCCTTCTTTGAACAGTGACATGGGCACCTTTCCGTTCACCTATAGAGGAACTGACGTGGCCTCTATTTAATGTCACCTTCAAATGGGTGCCATTTTCCTCTTCCCCACCTCCCTATGGAACGGCAAAGTGTTCCTGCTCATTATCAATGCAGCTTACCCACAAGGCACACCATCCTGGCTAACTTGCTTAAGACTTGTGGCCAGTGAACAGTTAGCCATATTGCAGTGGGTCTGGAGTCACATGTAGGCCAGTCTGGGTAAGGACAGCAGTTTCATTCCCTAAAGGATATGGGTGAACTAGATGGGTTTTTCCAACAATCATCAACGGCTTCATGCTCACTATTACTCAGACTAATTTGTAATTCCAGATTTTTATTTAATGAACTGAATCTAAGCTCACCAGGCGCAATGGGTTTCTAGTCACCAACACTTAAGCGTGTGTTTAGCCCACCTCCAGGCACCAAACCATGCAGTAGCCTCACCACCATCTCCGCAGTGAGAGAATGTGATGCATTCACACATCGATTTAACAGGAATGCAGGCACTGCTCAACATTCCCTGAGCACCATTACCTCTCCTCTCCAACTCTTGCCCCTCTCCACTGCCCACAGCCAGCATCACTCCCCTCCCTTCCACCCAAACTCCCGAATAGTGTGCAGGCCGGTCCCCACCCTGTGCTACTCCACCTGGGAAGACGAGGATGAAGCAGGCTGCCAAGCCCCCAATCACAGAGATCACTTTCCCAATGTCTGGGATGAAAAGTGCCAGGACCAGAGTGAGGAAGAACCAGACAAGGGTCTGCAGCAACCGGCGGCGTCTCTCCCGGGACAGGTCCACATCCTCCCCCACGTAACGAACCCAAAGTCCTTCAATCACAGACCTGCAGTGAAGAAAAAGCAAGAACATGATGGAGGGAGAGCAAAGGGAGGGGCAGGAAGAATGGGGAGGGAGATGGAGGCACTGCAAGGGGTTGGGAATGGGAGGCAGAGGGCGTGTGAGCAGGGTAGAGGGGAGGGAATGCAATGGGAAATAAAGGGAGTGTGAGGTGGTGGGTGGAAAGGAAGCGGAGGGAGGGCGAGGGGAATGAGGGAAGGGGAGATAGAGGGAATGCAAAGGGGTCTAGGGGGAGCGAGATGGACGGAGCATAACAGGGTGTCGGGGAATGAGAGGGTAAGAGTGGGAAGGAGGCGGAGGCAGAGAGGGAGTGACACACACTCAGGATTGACCTCACTAAGCCTGCTCCTGGGCTGGTCTGGGTGGGTCCTGTCCACATCCTGAAAGCTTCTGGGTTCAATAACACCAGGGATTGGCACAGAGCTGCTGCTCAGAGTCATACCCCAACTACCGGTGTCTCTCTGTCTGTCTTTCTCCTTCCTGACCCAGCTTCTGAAGATGGTGACTCCTGTCTGGGGCCACTCTCACTCACTCTGTCTGAAGGTTAGTCAGAGACTAAAATTCCTTCCCTACACCAGCCAGACACAACAACGAGCAGATACACAACCTTGACGGTAACAAGGTCCAAGGGCTATCCACAGTAACACATCCGTGAGCTCTACAGAGAACCGCCAACTGGAACATCTTAGCCCCAGGCAGGAAATCTCGGAACTCTTGGGCATCAAGTGATTGATCAGCAATTCCAGGTTTGGTCAGCATGTGTCACCAGTGACAGAAGAGTTTGCTGGAGGAGGCAGCGTATGATGGGTTTTCAGAATACTGCCCTCCCAGGACCAGGGGACAGAATTTCAAAATCAGACTTAGGCCATTCAGGGTGATGCCAGGGAGCATTTGGTCAGACAAAAAGCATCATGGGAATTTGGGACTCACTTGCCGAAACAAATTGAAACTCAGAATTCTAAACATAGATTTTTGTTACATGGGATTCCGTGCTGGGTCATAGAGTGAAGATACACATCAACAGTGAGTTAATGAACAGGTTCAAGAGGCTGAATGGCCTCCCCTGTCAAACACTGCTTACAGCAGCAATTAAAGATGCTGAAACCACGGGTTCGTTGGGGACACTGAAGCCGACAGCCTTTTGCCTGTTTTGCTCTGCATTCTGTCCATTCCCGTGTCTCTGGCCTGGCCAGAAATCTTACCTGCCGCAGAAGTGAAGGATGGGGTAGGATGTGACCACACAGAGGGTGATGGCGGCACGGGCAATGGTGACAGAGATATCAGTCGACGGATAGGATAGCAGCACGTCGACATTTACACTGGAGCCAAATGTCAGGAAACCGCAGACCCCTGGAGAGAGAAACATTCTGTCAGGAAAGAGTAATGGCCTTGGAGACAGGTACAGAGTGTCCTGTAGGCTCAGGTTGGGACATGCTGCTTAAACCGATGATACACAGGCAGTGAAATCAAAAACAAAAATCAATGATGAGAGACCGAAGTCCCATCAAACACTGTCAGTTAGGTACATTATGAGGTTATAGCAGAGTAAAGCTTCATCTAAACTATCCCCATCAAACACTCCCACTCCCAAAACAACGGCACAGGATTAGTTTAGTTGCAGAGTAAATTTCCCTCCGCGCTCCATGCAACAGTCTGTCCTGGGATCAACAAGGAAATATATCTTGCTACTGAATTTAATGTATGATTAACAGGCTAAAAATGTTTGCACCATTTACCTGAACCTGATCATATTAATAACTGCTATTAATGTTGGGTTTGAAAGGGAGAAACAGCTAAGATTATGGATTTAGGTAACTGTGACTTCAACAGGATGAGACAGACATAGAACATAGTAATCTTGGTAAACCTGTTAACTTTGTGACAATAGGAGATCAGTGGGATTTGTTGAAATTTCATTTATCCATTTATTATAAAACCTGTAGAAAACCAGTTTATACTCCTAGAGGGGCAGGGGTGTCAAAATATACAGACAGCCTTGGACAACCAACGAGATGGGCAAGACTAAAACAGAAATCAGACTAAAATACAAGAACAGCAATCTTCCAAAGTTATTGTATTGATTTCTGTTAATAGGATGCTAAATACCTAGTCGATAAATGTAAACAAGCTAAGAAATGATGGGAATTAATTAATGAGCTGCCAGTAGCTAGGCAGCATCACTACTGATTGAGCTGGTTGAGTCCCAGGATCTGTGGCAGATAGTGAGGGAACTAACAAGAGAGAAAACCATACTCTCATCCTCAAACTGCCTGTTACGGATGCAGCTATCCTTGATAACATTGCTCGCAGTCCTTGTGGAAACAAAGCCCCACCTTCATTCTGAGAATATTCTCCATGAAGTTGTGTGGCACAATCATCACGCTAAATGGGAAAGACTTCAAACAGCTCTAGCAACTCCAGTCTGGGCATCCATGAGGCGCTGTGGGCCATCAACAGCAGAACTGTACTCCAGCACAACCAGTAATCTCATGGCCCGGCATATCCCCAACTCAACCATTACAATCAAGCTAGGAGTTCAACCCTGGTTCAATAGAGTGCGCAGGTGGGCATACCTAAAAATGAGGTGTCCAACCTGGTGAAGCTACTAAACAGGACTACTTGTGTGTCAAACAGTATAAGCAGCAAGTGATAGACAGAGCTAAGTGATTCCACAACTAATGCATCAGATTTAAGCTCTGCAGTCCTGCCACATCCCGTCCTGAATGGTGGTAGATAATTAAAAGTTTTCACTGAAGGAGGCTTCACCAATATTCCTATCCTCAATATTGGAGGAGCCCAACATATCAGATAAGGCAGAAGCACTTGCAGCAATCCTCAGCCAGAAGTGACAAGTTGATGATCCATGTCAGCCTCTTCTTGAGGTCCCCAGCATGACAGATACCGATCTTTAGCCAATTTGCTTCGCTCCACTCGATATCAGGAACAGGTGAAGGCACTGGATACTGCAAACGCAATGGGCCCTGACAACATTCCAGCAACAGTACTGAAGACATGTGCTCCAGAACTTGCCACTCCCTTAGCCAAGCTGTTCCATTACAATTATAACACTGGCTCCTACCCACCAATGTGGAAAATTGCCCAAGTATGTCCTGTCCACAGGACGAATCCAACCTGGCCAATTACCACCGCATCAGTCCACTTTCAATCAAGTGATGGAAGGTGGCATCAACAGTGCTATTAAAGCAGCACCTGCTCAGCAATAATCTGCTCAGAGATGCCCAGTTTGGGTTCCTCCAGGGCCGCTCGGCTCCTAACCTCGTTACAGCTTTGGTTCAAACATGAACAAAAGAGCTGAATTCCAGAGTGAGGTGAGAGTGACAGTCCTTGACATCAAACAGCCCATGCAAAACTGGAGTCAATAGCCTGAGAAACGTAGGAATCTCTCTGCTAGTTGGAGTCATACTGGCACATAGGAAGATGGTTGTGGTTGTTGCAGGTCAGTCATCTCAGCTCCAGCACATCTCTGCAGGAGTTCCTCACGGTAGTGTCCTTGGCCCAGCCATCTTCAGCTGCTTCATCAATGACCTTCCCTCCATCACAAGGTCAGAAGTGGGGATGTTCACTGATGATTGCACAATGTTCAGCACCATTTGCGACTCCGTAGATACTGAAGCAGTCCATGCTCAAATGCAGAAAGATCTGGACAATATCCAGATTTGCTCTGACAAACGGCAAACAACATTTGAGCCACAGAAATGGCAGCAAATGACCATCTCCAACAAGAGAAAATCTAATCATGGCTCTTTGACATTCAATGGCATTACCATCACCCCCACTTTCAACATTCCAGGGGGTTAATATTGACAAACAGTAAGACCAGGTCAGAGGCTAGGAATTGCATAGTGAGTAACTCACCTCCTGACTTCCCAAAGCATGTCCACCATCTACAAGGCACAAGCAGGGAATGTGATGGAACACTCCCATTCACCTAGATGAACGTAACACAAAATACTCAAGCTTGACACCATCCTGGACAAATTGGTCGACTTGATTGACACCACATCCACTCCCTCCATCACTGATGCTCAGTAGCAGCAGTGTGTATCATCTACAAGATTCAGTGCCATTATTCATCAAGGTTCCTTAAACAGTACTTTCTAAAACCACAACCTCAGCACGCAGAAGATCAAGTGCAGCAGAAACATGGGAACATCGCCACTTGTAGGTTCCCCTCCAAGTACTCACCATCCTGACTTCGAAATAGATCACCCTTCCTTCACTGTTGCTGGGCCAAAATCCTGAAATTTCTTCCCTAATAGCATTGTGTGTTTACCTATAGCATTTGGACTGCAGTGGCTCAGGAAGGCAGCTCACCTCTACCTTCGAGAACATTTAGGATGGGCAGGATATGCTGGGATAGCTAGCGAAGCTCAAGTCCCTGAATGAATAAACAAAGATGTTAAAATGCACATATGCACACATGAAAAAGGCAGCCAAGAGGTTTGGGGTGGGAGGTGTATTTGGATGGAACAGCAAACTCTGTGCAAAGAAGCTGCTCTTCCAAAATGTACTGGTCTCTCTGTGCACTCCACAAATAGTATCAAATCATCTTTAATATGACTTTGAAATGATTCCTCTAGATTGGAAAATTGCAATTGTCACAAAAGGTGTGAAGAGGAAATTGGGAATTTTAGATCATTTAGTCCAACATCTATGTAAAAGGGGTGGAGGAGTTGCATTACTGATTAAAGAGAATGTTGAAGCTGCATTAAGACAGGACATCTTGGAGGGCTCACCCAGCGATCTTAGGAATAATAAAGGCGTAATCACTATAATGGGGTTGTACTATTGGGCTTCCCAATAGCCAGCAGGAGATAGAGGAACAGATATGTAAGCAGATCAAGGAAAGATGTAAAAACATCATGATTACTGTAGTGGGTAATTTTAACTTCTCCAATATTGATTGGGACACCCTTCATACCAGGGGCTTAGATGGGGCAGAATTTGTCAGGTGCATGAAGGAGGGCTTCTCAAAACAATACGTGGATAGTCAAACTAGGAAAGGGGCTTGTACTAGAACTTTTATTGGGGATGAGCCTGGCCAGGTGTTCAAAGTTTCAGTGGGCGAGCATTTTCGGACATTGATCAGAATTCCTTAACTTTAAAGGTAATTATAGATAAGGATAAGACTGGTCCTCCAGTGGAAGTACTAAATTGGGGGAAGGCTAATTACAACAGTATTAGGCAGAAACTGGAGAAATTAGATTGGGGGCAACTTTTTGAGTGTATATCCACATCTGACATGTAGGAGTCTTTTAAAGGCCAGTTATTCAGAGTTCAGGACCAGCATGATCCTATGAGGATGAAAGATAAGGATAGCAAAATTCAGAAACTCTGGATGACAAGAGATATTGAAAGTTTAGTCAAAAAGAAAAAGGAAGGTTTACAAAACTGAAATCAGACAAGGCTTTTGAAGAGTTCAAAAGAGGTTTACCAGGATGTTGCCTGGATTTGAGTGTTGCAGCTCTAAGGAAAGCTGGGACAAACGGATTGTTTTCACGAGAGTGTTGGAGGCTGAGGGGCAACCTGATAGGAGAATATAAATTTACAAAAGGCATGGATAGGATGGATGGTGAGAGTCGTTTTCCCAGGGTGGAAATGTCAAATACTAGGGGGAATAGGTTCAAGGTGAGATGGAAAAAGGTTAGAGGACATGTGCGAGGCAAGTTTTGTTTTTAAAAGAAGAGGGTGGTAGTTGCCAGGAATGCACTGCCAGGGGAGCTGGTAGAAGCAGATACGATAGCAATGTTTAAGAGGCATTTAGACAGGCACATGAACAGGCAGGGAATAGAGAGCTACGGACCATGCGCAGGCAGATGGGATTAGTTTAGAACAGCATCATGGTTAGCACAGACATGGTGAGCAGAAGGGCCTGTTCCTGTGTCGCACTGTTCTGCATTCTATTTAGGTGTTCTCTCAGTTCTGGCCTCTTGTGTAGTCTCTAATTCAATCACTTCATAATTGGTGGCTGTTTGTGAATTTTTCACCCCAAAGACCTGTGAAGCTTCGGTCATTGTATATATTCAGGAAACAGATCCATACATCTCTAGGTATTAATTTTTTTTATTCACTCTAGGGATGTGGGCCTCAGAGGCCTGGCCAGCATTTATTGCCCGTCACTAGTTGCCCTTGAGCAGGTGGTGGTGAGCTGCCTTCTTGAAGCACTGCCCTCCATCTGCTGTAGGTAGACCCACAATGTCATGAGGGAGGGAGGGAGTTCCAGGATTTTAATACAGGGTTAGTGTGGGGAAAATGTCATTAAGGTCCAAGATTAGCCTGACCCAGATAAATGGCAGAGCAGTCCTGAGGAATGAACGGCCTCTTTCCACTCTTAGCTCCTTATGTGCCTTCAGCTGCATCTGTCTTAAGCCCTAAAAGTAAAATGTCTTGCATTTCTAATGTGTCTTTCAGGACAACTCGAAGTCTCAAAGCACTTTACAGCCAATTAAGTACTTACTTTCTAATTTAACCAGTATTGTAATGGAGGGAAAGGCAGCAGTTAAATCAGTGTGCAGCAAGCTCCCAAGAATAGCCAGGACACAGTAGAAGTCCCTTATTCATCCTTCAGAGAATGCAATGAGAATTTTTATATTCATCCAAGATGCCAAACGGAGACTTGGTTCAGCTTCTCCTCTGAAACATAGCACCTGTGACAATGCAGCACTCCCTCAGTTCCAGCCTAGAGTATCAGTTCCAATTTGTGTGGCTGGAGTGGGACTAGAACCCACAATCCCCCTGACACAGGGTGTGAGTGTTACCAAGCCAACTGCACCGGACTCTATAGAAATGCTACTTGTGCTGCCGTCATTACACCGAACGCGACCGCTGTCCCCGTGGTGGAGGCAGTGTGTGCCATACCTGTGCCTGTGTACACAAACAGACAGATCACTACAGCCGCTGTCACCACCCAGCTCCAACGCTGTAGTCCCGGCCTCTCCATACTGCTGAACACTGGCACACTGCTCACATGGCACTGTCAAAAGCAGGGAAAAAACAGACACGAGATAAAATTCAGAGTTATTTATATCGGGAGAGACATATCAAACTGTGTATCAGACATCACCTAATACTGAACCCTGGGCTCTGACAGAACTCCTGCTCAATGGTTACTGGAGTTTCAACACTGAGTTCAACCACTAGGTGGTGATATTGTCACTAAGGGAAATATTTGAATATGAAAGAAAATTAGCTGGAAATATAAAAACAGATAGTCGGTGTTTCTACAAGTACTTCAAATGGAAAAAGAAAGTGAGTGCTTGTCAGAGAGTGCCTGCTAAATTTATTGCATAAGATAACAAAATGGCAGATGAACTGAACAGTCATTGAGCCTGTTTTCGTCATACAGGATAAAAACAACATCCCAGGAATAAGGTAAAAAGGGGAGATGAAATTAAAACAATTACATGCACCAGCGAAAGGGAACTGAGAATATTATTAGGTTAAAGAGATGCCAATTTAAGACTGAGATGAGCAGGAATTTCTTCTCAGAGGGCTGAGTGTCTTTGGATCTCTTTGCCAGAGAGCCATAGGGGCATAGGGGCATAGACCTGGTCTGTATTTGAAACTGAAGTAGATGCTTGATTAGTAGGGAATCGAAAATCCTGGGGAAAGGGAAAGGAAGTGGACGACAGGAATGCTGGGTTAGTCACTGAATGACAGAACAGACTTGAGGGGCTGAATGGCCTAATCCTGTTCCTATTTCTTATGGTTTTAACTAAAATCTGACAGGTCACATAGCCCTAGTAGACTTGGTCCACAGCCCTTAAAAGAGGTGACATAGAAGATGCATTGGTTTTATTTTTTCCCTAAAGTTCCTTAGATTTTGGGAAAAAGTACCATCAGATTGAATAATAGCAAACGTGACTCCTCTACTCAAGGGCAGAAGGAGATAGAAAGCAGGAAACTACAGGCCCATTCGCTTAAAAATCTGTCATCCTGAAAACACTGGGATGTATTATTAATCAGGCTAAAGCAGACCACTTAAGAAATTTCAATACAATCAGGTAGAGCCAATATGGCATTGTGATAACAAAATAATACTGGACTAATTCACTGACATTTGTCAAGGTGCCACAGCAAAGGTTACGACACAAAATAAGTGCTCATGGTGTACAGAGTGAACATACAAGCAGAAAGTGGATTCGTTAGCCAACAGGAAACAAAACTATACACAAATGGCCCATTTAATGGTTGGCAGGGTGCGACAACAGGAGTGTCAAAGGGATCAATACTGAAGTAAAAAGGGGAGTTGTGAAGAGGGCATAAGCAGCTCTGCAAGGAATATAGATCAGCTAAGCAAATAGGGAAAAGATTAGTCAGATGGAGTATAATGTGGGAAAATGTGAACTTTGCCATTTTGTTAGCAGAATAGGAGAGCAGCACACTATGAAGATGAGACAGACTGCCAAAGTATGTAATGCATGAATCACAAAATGTTAGTACGCATGTACATCTAGTGATTAGAAAGCAAATAGGATGTTGTTATTTATTGCCAAGGGAAAGGAGTATAGAAGTAGAAGCACTTTGCTACAGTAGAACAGACTACTGGTGAGATGACATCGGCAGTAGTGTGAGCAGTTTTGGTCTCCTTATTTAAGGAAAGATAGAAATGCAATGGAAGCAGTTCAGAGAAGCTACAACTAGCTGAATCTGGGATGGGGAGAATTATCTTATGAAGGAAGGTTGAAAGGACTGGGCTTGTATTTTGAAGTCTGGAAGAATGAGATGAGTCGTTACGAAAATTGATGATTGTTTCATGCTCACTAGTTTTCAATTCCAGAATTATTTTTCTTAATTGAATTTAAATTCCACTAGCTGCCATGGTGGGGTTTAAAGCCAGTTTGCCAGTGCAATGATATTGCTGTTACACCACAATATTCCTACCATAAATTATCATATAAAAGTCTGAAGTAATATACTTTAAAAAGGAGAAATTAGGAGGTTTAGAACAAACTAAATGATAAGATACAGGAGCAGTTGCGGGCATCGGGCCAGGTACATACACAAATCTTTGCAGATAGTGAGCAGGTTGAAACCTTTCACGGAATACGGGATCCTTTCCTTTACAAAGAGAGGACACAAGGAAGTTTGGAACTTTTTCCTGAAGCACAGCAGGAAGAAAGCCGGGTGCCAGTGAGGCATCTCAGGTTGAGACTGGAGAAGCAATGAGGTAATGACCTTTGACATTCTGATGGAGGGAAGGTCATTGATGAAGCAACTGAAAATGGTCAGGCTTCAGACGCTCCTGAGGGACTCCTGGAGAGATATGCTGGACTGAGTATATTAAGCTCCAACAACCACAACCATTAATTTTGGGATAGGAATGCCTCCAACCTGCAGAGAACTTCCCCGATTCCCCTCACCATTCACAACTGGATGTGGCAGCAGTTTGTTTGGGGAATTGCTGAACCCTGTTTATTGCATGCTGCTTCCACTGCTGGCACACAGTACTTGGCGTTGCGTCTTCCACAGGTTTTGGAGTTTGCTTTACACTTCTGCACTCTTCACTGAATCGAGGATGATCAGGCAGCCTGATGGCAGTAACAGAGTGGGGAATATGTTGCATTGTAGGGGAGTACAATTCTGTTGCAGCTGATAGCCCATAGCACCTCATGGATGCTTCTAGATGTGTTCTGAATCTATCCCATCCAGCACAGTAGTTGTGGCACACAAAACGATGAAAGATATTCTTACTGTGAAATTTTTTTTATTCATGCACTACATGTGGCCATTGCTGGCTGGACCAGCATTTATTGCCCTTGAGAAGGTGGTGGTGAGCTGCCTCCTTAAACCACTGCAGTCCACAAGCAGTAGGCAGACCCGCAATGTCCTTAGGGAGGGAATTCCAGGATCTTGACCCAGTGACAGCAAAGGAACGATGATTATTTCTAAGTCAGGATGGTAAGCAGACTGCAGGGGAATTTGCAGGTGGTGGCGTTCCCAACTATCTGCTGCCCTTGTCCTTCTAAATGGTAGTGGTTGAGAGTTTAGAAGGTGTCCTTTAAGGAGCCTTGGTGAGCATATTTAATGGATCTTTGAGCCCACAAGGACTGTGTGGTGGTTACTCCTCCCAGCAGATTGGTGAGGGAGGTATCGAATAGGTTTTCCCCTCCTGGTGATTCTCTCATTAGCTGCTACAGCCCTTATTTGGCAGCTATGTCCTTCAGGACTCGGCCAGCTTGTGGAGTAGCGCTACGGTGTCACTCGTGGTCAGGGTCATTGAAGTCCCCCTGCCCAGGGTAAAATCTATGCCCTACTACCTTCAGTGCGTCTTCCAATTGGTGTTCAACGTAAAGAATTATTGATTTCTTAGGTGAGAGGGATTGCAATTGATAAAAACCAGGAGATTTCCTCCGTGTACTCAACCAAGTGAACAGGTGAAATGAGATGGTATTAGAGAGAGAGACAGCACGAGATTGATGAATGGTGGTGGTTTAACCTGAGGGTCACCATGTCTCAGGTGAGGGGAGAGGTTGAGAAGAGGAGTCTTTTAAAGTAACCTCAGCCAGTGCAGGAATTCAGTGACAGCGGGACTGCACAGAGTATACTGAAAATGCACTGAGGGGAGTCAGAAAGCTCGTTTCTGCTCACCCCTCCAGACAAAATAATTGCTACAGTAACAGACCAAGCAGGCATGTGACATGTGCAGAACTGCTCCAGTCCCTCAAAGGAAACCTGACAAGTCCCCGAGACAGGAGGATATTACCAATTTTGGGAGGACATTTTTGGCAAGCTGAGATTGTGGTGTGGGTTACCACAGTATCCTGGTGGCTTAAGGAAGTGGGAGAGGCATTTTGCAAAATAATTCCTGAATTGCCCTATAAGTAGCGAACGTAGGGGCACCAAAGACCCAAATCATTCTCATGCATGCGAAGCTCCCAGAGAGTGGGAACCTGAGCTGTAGCCTAGAAGACTGATGACCAACACTGTCAGCCCAGAACCTAATCCAACCTCCTTCTGGGCGTCAGCTCCCACGTGAAGTTAAAAGTCAGGAGAAACACACAGCAACATAAATGTACGGGAGACTAGGAGAACATCAGTACCTGGAATCCGAAGCAGATGGTTGGAATAGCATTAAACACGGCCATCCAGGAGGAAGGGCTGAGGAAAAGGAAGATGAGAGGGTTAATCTTACTGGCAAGCTCTAACTCTATTACATTCCTCCCCCTCAAATCTGTACAAATTAACACAACTCCCTCTCTTATTCAATAGTGGCTGCCCGACTTGCCATGATGGGGAACTGGACATCATACCAAGGATTTGACTGCCCTCAGGTGCCCACCACTGGGGACAAAGCAGAAGCTGGGCTCCAGTACAATCGTTCTCATGGCCACCTCTCAGTCAAGGCAATGTCCAGGCAAACAAAAGCAAGACACTGCAAATGCTGGAAATCCAGACTAAAAGCAGTAAGTGCCAGAGAAACTCAGCAGGTCTGGCAGCACAAATAGATTTAATGTTTCCAGATCGACACAACTCTTCCTCATTCGGTGACAGAATTTCCTTTAGAAGATACATTGAATCCTGATGTCACACAACCAAGGGCAAGGGCCTAGTTAACACATTACTGGCCTCATTCATCTAATACTACCTGAGGAAGGGTGCCAGGTCTCCATTCAGGAACTGTCCACATTCCCTACGGTACAGGGCTCCATCCTATCAGCAGCAGCTCCAAGGGTGCCATGACCCTGAGGTACCATCGAGATAGTGACCCAAGACTTAAAGGTCAGTGGCAACATGGGCAGGCCCCGTCAAAGGGCTCCTCATCAAACAGACGTCTGTTTGGTCACTATGTTACAGACACTTACCTGGTAGGGATATCCCAAGTGTGGATATCTTGATCTGGCAGGATGTATTTAACGATGACTATGATGGTCACGTACCAAGTCCCCAGCACACTCAGGGTACTAGAGACAGAGAGAAATAGAAAGTAATTCAAAACAGGTCTAACATTGCTCGAGTCCATCCTCCAAAGAGAGGTGGTAGTTAAGGGGTTGGTTTAAACTCAAAACGCCATTGAAAATCCTGGCTTTGACTTTCATCAATAGAAGACTTTACGAAATTTGGGCCACAGTAGATCAGTCACTCCCCGAGGCCCCTCTGCCATTAAACTCAATCATGCCTGGTTATGCACCTCAACAGCATTTTCGCACAATATCTCCTTGTACGTGGAAATCAAACGTACTCAATGACTGAGCCACTGCAGCCCTCCAGAGTAGAGAATTCCCAAGAATCACCATCCTGAGTGAACAAATGCCCCCTCTTCTCTGTCTTGGATAGTCTGCCACTGTTCGGCGATTGTGTCCCCTGGTGCTTGACCTCCCTCTTAGCCACGGAAAACATTCTTCCTGCATCAACCCTGTTGAGCCCTGTAAGCATCTGTATGTTTTAAAGCGATCAGTTCTCATCCTTCTAATGTCAAGAGAAGGAAGGCCCGGTCTCCTCATAAAACAATCTGACCAGCCCAGTTATCAGTCTGGTGAACCTTGATGGCGTTCCTCGTTGACTACCATATCCTTCCTTAGGTAAGGAGACCAACAATCCACATAAAACTCAAGGTGCAGTCTCACCAAGCTTCTATACCATTGGTGATCTTATTGAAACTGACAAAATGCTTAAAGGGGTAAAGAGGGTAGATGTCACTTTGGACTGAGAGGAGGAGAAGTTATTTCATTTTTCCAGCAAATTGTTGGGAATTCTTTACTCCAGAGGGCTGTGGAAGGTCAGTCTTTGAGCAGATTTAAAGTAGAGATTGATAGGTTTCTGATTCCCCAAAGGCATGAGCGGCTACAGGGATAGTCTGTGTAAAAAACATTGAAGTGTTTGATTAGCCATCCTATGAAATGGCAGAACAGGCTCAACAGACAGACTGGCTGGAAGAACTCCTGTTCTTATGAAGCAACATGTCTCTACTCTCATACTCAAATCCCCTTGTGAAAGGAGTCAACAAACTGTTTGCTTTTCAATTTGCTCATTGCAGCTGTAAGTTAGCTTTCAGGTGACTTATGAACAAGGACATCCGGGTCCTTTTGTACATGAACATCTCCCAATTTATCACCATTTAAGAAATACTCTATTTCTGTTGTTCAGTTGTCAGAGGAAGGGATGTAAACTCTGAGGAATCGTGCACTTTCAGATAGCCCATGCTTCACAACAGTCACACATTCAATGACACTGTCACAATTTTCAAGCGTTATTCACGATCGCACAATTTCACTTTGGTCCTCACATCCCCCAAAGAAAGAGGCTGAGGCCTTTCCACACGTTTTATTGTGACGGTTGTTCTAACAGTGGTAGGGAGGAAAGTCCAGAATGGTTTGTGTGTGGCTGACAATGACCCAAAGGTCAACTGCCTCTGGTTTACAAACTGGGATTTGGAGAACTTTTGTTTTCCAAAACGGTGCAAAGAAATAATCTCTCAAGTGAACAACAGACAGTAAAACACAAGATGGGAGAAAAGGCAAGCTGCCCACTTTGTATGAGATAACCAGAGCTACTACCAGTCCCACACAAGGAACTGACAAGCTCCCCTGAAGTTAAAAGGAATCATGAGACATGGGCTTTGCTGTAGAATCTACAATAACACAAGGAAAACTCTGGTCAAGTGAGTGTAAAGACTGGATAGCAAAGTTGTGTTGTGAAGTTGGGTAGAGTACTTGTGGATTGGAAGGCAGGACATTAGAATTTGTTTGTAAAATGATGGGGGGTGGGGGTGGGGGGGGGGGGGGGGAGGAGGAAAAGTTGAGCGCATTTTATAGGCTTGGAAATTTTTTTTAAAAGTCTGTGAGCAGCAGCAGGCACAGAGAGTTCCTGAAACTGAAATATTTGTATCAAAGGCTAGGAACCTAGGCAGCAGTTTTGTTTTGTTATTAGGGCAGCCAGTTTGAATATCAGCCAATTCATTTAAACCAGGCACTTAGAGGCTAAAATCCATTTAAATTTAAATCTGATGGCTTTGACAACCTAGGACCAATCTTATCATAAGAAATTGATAGGTCATCAAGGGTATAAAAGAAGAGGGCATTTGAAAATCATTGAGAGAGCAACTGCCATCTGTCAGAGTTAACAACCAGCAGCCCTAAAGAAAAAAAAAAAAAATCACTGACTCTCTCAGAATTCTCTAAGATCTCTGAAAACCATCACCTGACTCAAGATACAGCGGCACTCTTAGCTAATATTCCTGGCATGTGAATTTGATGGAGAAAGGTGTTCCTGACTGAAGATCAGCGAAGAACTCCATAGAAGTAGAACTGTAGAGCACAGAACATTGCGGAAGACATATCCTGATTGTAATTTCGAAAGACTAAGTTTATTCATTTGGTTTATATAATTGGGACTTGTATTTATTGGAACAGCATACCATTAGAACTGTGTAATTCCAGAATAATTAGTAGTTAAGGGGGAATTATTCAGTTTGTTAGTAGTTTTGTTAATATGTTCACTGTTGGAGTTAGATTATAGAGTGACTGTCAGGAGTTCGTTTTATTTAACCTCCCCTTTATAACGGGAGGGAGGTGGGGGCATGAGAGGCAGGTTATACCACTTTTTACACTTCCTTTCACAGATTATGAGGTGAGGCGAGTTTCCCTCAGTGTTTCAGCTTTAGTTATTCAGAGGGGAGTTGACCTCTGCTTCATAGCAGTTGGAACGATTGATGGTTGTTTGAGAAGGTGAAGCTGGTTTTATAAGGATGAGCAATGGCTGAAGACTTATGCCTGGAAAGGCAGCTAAATGGTGCTGGGATGGGTGCACAAAGACAGAGATCAATGTGAGTTGCAAAGAAATGAGCTTGGAAAAGAGACTGATGGGAGGTGAAGAGACAAAAGCTAAAAGATGATGGATTGGAGGGGTGGTGATGGTGGTGGAGGAAAGAGGGCTGTGGAGAATTGAAGGTAGTAAGCACAGAGCAGTAGACAGGTCTACAATGGTCAAGTATTTATGAAGAAGAAAGCCAATGAGTTCCTCAGTCTTGTTAAAGGTGAGGGTACAGAAGGGAGTCATGAAAGTTAGCATGGGGCACCAACTATCCAGATACTATCAGTCACAAAAACAGTCATCATGTCAGTTTGGAGCTTCAGGCTGAAGGAATCATTGGTGAAAGCAGATTTGAGACATGGAGAGTATGGGTGACAGCTACAGCTACGAGCAGATCCAGGATCATTGCAGACTGAGAAGAGAAGAGAGAGAATTCAAGAGTCAGAATTCGACAGGACTGACATCAAAGCATCAATAAACCAAGCACTAACCTGGCATATTTCTGGAAGCCGATCTCTTTGGGGATGGAAAGGGGTAGGATGACCAGGAGAGAAATGACTGAAATGGTGAACTTGCGGTTACTGTACCAGTGGCCACTGACTGAAGCATCTCCCTCAGGCGTGTGCATCAATGCCCCAATTACTGCAAAGCAAAGCAAATATTGAGAACCTTTCCCACACAGAACATTGTCACTTCAGGGAGACGGTAGCATAGTGGTAATGTCACTAAACTAGTTATGGCAGATGGTGAAATTGGAGTTCAATAAAATTACCTGGAATTTAAAAATAAGTGAGGCTAATGGTGACTATGTACCCACTATCGACTGTTGTAAAAATCCCCTTTAGGGAAGGAAATCTGCCATCCTTACCTGGTCTGGTCTAAACGTGACTCCAGACCCACAACAGCGTAGTTGATTTTTAACTAATTCTGAGTACCACTGGGTTATCAGGGATGGACAATAAAGGCTGGTCAAGCCAGCAATGCTCACATCGCTTGAATGAATAAAACTAAATTCATGGGTTTCCCAAGAGTTGTTTACCATCTCTCCTGTAATGCAGTGCTCAGTGTCATCCTGAGCAGACAACCAGATCAATGGTCCATTTTAAACTCTATAGAACAGGGCTTCACTGCACTGGTACTTATGGACAGCCTGTAACAAACCTCTTTTGATATGCCCAAAATCAATTAAGATTAAAACCTGGTCATTTATCATATCATCCATGCAATCTAACTGTACAAATTGACAGATACATTTCCATCATTAACATGTACTACATGGAGCATAAAGTGCTCTGGGATGTTCAGCCATCACAAAATGCACAATAGAGGGGCACGTCAATTTTTCTTTTGCTGTCACATGAAACATTGCTGTTTCAAACAAAAGTCTTCTCAGAAGAAGAGTTGGGAGCTCATGTTGCGGCTGTACAGGACATTGGTGAGGCCACTTTCGGAATAGTGCATTCAGTTCCGGTCTCCCTGTTACAGGAAAGATGTTGCAAAACTTGAAAGGGTTCAGAAAAGATTTACAAGGATATTGCCAGGGTTGGAGGGTTTGAGCTATAGGGAGAGGCTGAATAGGCTGGGGACATTTTCCCCTGGAGTATCGGAAGCTGAGGGGCGACCTTATAGAGGTTTATAAAATCATGAGGGGTATGGATACGGTGAAAAGCTAAGACCTTTTGCCCAGAGTACGGGAGTCCAAAACTATAAGGCATAGGTTTAAGGTGAGAGGGGAAAGATTTAAAAGGGATCTAAGGGGTAATTTTTTCACACAGAGGGTGGTGCGTGTACGGAACGAGCCATCAGAGGAAGTGGTGGAGGCTGGTACAATTACAACATTTAAAAGGCATCTGAATGAGTACATGAATAGGAAGGGTTTAGAGGGATATGGGCCAAATGCTGGCAAATGAGACTAGATTAATTTAGGATATCTGGTTGGCATGGAAAAGTTGGACCGAAGGATCTGTTTCTGTGTTGTACACCTCTATGACTCTAACATTTAGCAGTGAAACAAGACTTTGGTTCTTCTAAACACACTTCAACACCTGCTCCTGTCTCAGTTCTGCACAGCCCGCAAAGTGTGCACCTCATGTTCAAACTGCCAACCTTTACCCAAAATGATAAATTAACAGAATTGGATTATTATTAAACCTTGATCTGAATCTGACAATGGCACAACAAAGCTTAGTTACAAACAGCTAAGGACTTGTTAACAAGTGTTTAGTTTAACACTGGGTAACAGATTAAAAAGTGTTTTCAGTTTCAAAGAAAATGCTAGAAATGTTTAGCAGCTCAGTCAGCATCTGTACAGACAGAAACACAATGACAGTTTTAGGTTGGTCAACCAAACAAATTTTGAGCAGCTAATTCTAGATATATAAACTGTGGCTACAAGAACAGGTCAGAGGCTGGGAATATTGCAGCAAGTAATTCACCTCTTGACTCCTCAAAGCCAACCCACCATCTACAAAGCACAAGGCAGGAGTGTGATGGAATATTCACCACGTGCCTGGATAAGGGTAGCTCTAATAACACTCAAAAAGCTCATCCAAGGCACAGCAACCAATTTTAGCAGCTCGTTCATTATTTTCAACATTAACCCTTCTGTCACCAACACAGTAACAACAGTATGCACCATCTACAAGATTCATTGCAGCTATTCACCAAGGTTCCTTACCTGTGATTGCTACCATCTAGAAGGACAAAGGCAATATGGGTGTTTGGGAACAGCAGTGACTGTAAGCCCCCCTTCAAGCCAGACATCATGGGACTTGGAAATAGATCGCTGTTCCTTCAGTGTTGCTAGGTCAAAACCCACAACTGCCTCCTTAATGGCATTGAGAGTCTACCTGAACTTACAGGTGAACCCACTGCATTGTCCAGTCCCTGCACCATCTCTCTTGAGAACTACTGACCACAGCGACGCTCCCTAGCCCCGGCTAATAGACTAACCCGCCACTCCACCGTGACTCACTCTTATCCAGCTGATCTCCAATGATGATTAAGAAAGCGATGCAGGTGCCAAAGGTGTAAATAGCGATAAGGATGTCACAGACGGTGCCTATCACTTGCCCACAGGCTGCCCTCACCACCTCCTGATAAGTGGTCTTGCTGCTGACCTGTGAGCAGTAGGCCAGGATTACCAAGCCAGCGATGATAAACAACACTAAGCACTGCAAGAGAAACAAAAGGGGTTCGCTTTATCCAAGGTGAAATCCATTATGGTGAAATTAGAAGCATTTAAAAATACATTGTTCAGTACAAACACGAGAAGCACTGACAAAAAACTGTCTCTCCTAACATAAGGATTGATAACTGGAGGATACAGATTTAGCATAATTGGCAAAAGAACCAGATGGGAAAGAAGAATTGAAAAAAATCTGCAGCACTGGTTAGTCTCTCCATGACCATACCTTTCCCAGCCTCAGGGACTCCACCATGCCTACATCCCCGTGAACTCTTCATTTCCCAGCTCCAGTTTCCATCCCAGCTCTATTATCGGGGATATGCCCTCCTGAAGTCCTTCTTCCTTTAGCTGTTCCATAAAGCTTCCTTTTCCCAATCAGCCTTTTGGTCCTTATTGCTCATGGTGCTCAACGTCAATTCATTTTTAATGATTTCTTGGCATGTGAACATCACTGGCTGGTCCAGCATGTATTACCAATCCCTAATCACCTTGGAAAAGGTCATGGTGAGCTGTCTTCTTGAACCACTGCAGTCCACGTGGTGCAGTATAACACAGTGCTGCTAGGAGGGGAGTTCCAGGGTTATGACCCAGTGACATTGAAGGTTCAGTATTTAAGGAAGGATATACTTGTATGGCAGGCAGCATAGTGAAGGTTCATTACATTGGTCCCAGGGAAGGTGGGGGTTCTTGCTCCACGATGAGAAAATGAGTTGGGATGAGATTTTCTGGAATTGAGAGGAAAAAGCTGATCCCGTTGAAACATACACTATTCTGAAGCGGACAGGCGGGAATACTGAGAGGCCGTTTCCCCAGTTGGTGAATCTAGAACAGTATAAGAGGGTCAATCATTTAGGACAGAGATTAGGAGAACTCTCTGCACTCAGTGGTAAAATCTTTGGAATTCTCTGCCCCGGAGAGCTGGGATGCTCCATGATTGAACATATTCAAGGAGGAGATAGACAGAAAGTTGATTTTGTTTTAGGAAATTGAGAGACAACGGGTAGTGAACTTAAAGCCAAAGATCAGCCACGAGCATACTGTGCGGCAGAGCAGGACCAATGGGCCACTCCTTCCCTGATTCATATGGCACAGCAACATACTTCAAAGACACTTTAAAATTCCCATGAAACACCTTGGGATATTTTGGATATTTTATTATGTATTGCTGGCAAAAACAAAAGACATTTTGTCTTTTACTAATTAGTATTGCTTGCTAATTGTCCCAATGTGAAGGGAAAACAAAATTTATACCGCATGAGATGTCATTTCCCCCATTACAGTGGTGTTTCTTACAAACTGTCCTGAGGAGTGCAAGATGAATAGCTTCAATAAAAATGTGTTGGCTTTCATCACTACTGAATTCCCATAGTATCAAACAACGATTTTACTGCATTAAAAGGTGCTAATATAAATACAAGGAACTGTCATGTGCCCTCTACATGCTCAGCAATGAACAGACAGGATGGCTGGCAACACAACTTCAAGTGAAAGGCACTCTGCCAGTAGTGAAGATATTCCCGTGGACTGGCACAGTGGCTCAGTGTTTAACACTGCTGTCACACAGCGTCAGGGACCCAGGTTCGATTCCAGCCTCGGGTGACTGTCTGTGTGGAGTCTGCACATTCTCCCTGTGTCTGTGTGGGTTTCCTCCCACAGTCCAAAGATGTGCAGATCAGGTGGATCAGCCATGCTAAATTGCCGCATGGCATCCAGGGGCATGCAGGTTGGGGAAACTGGTTATGGTTAATGTGGGATTACGGAGATAGGGTGGGATTCTCTTTGGAGGGTGGGTAGCAGACTCAAATGGCCTGCTTCCACACAGCAGGGATTCTATTAGTGAGCCTTCTCTCCTGTAGCTTTGACTGCCATTGCTGTTCTAAATGTGCTTGCTGAAAGTGAAATGGCAGCACAGGACAGATCGGACCTTCGGCAGGGCTGCCACAGAGAACATCACCCAGATCACTGATCATCTCAGGCATTAGCATGAGGGGTCAGCCAAAACACAGCAGGCGCCAGAACGCCCCTCAGAATTCTGAGCCCGAACTTTGGCCTCTCGATTACTGGGACTGTTTGGAATAAGGCTCGGTGCTGCAACTTCAGACTTGGGAAGTTAATACTGAGATAAACAAAAGATGGGCTCCTGCACGCCACTAGCGCTGACAACCCGTTAGTGGAACTGATGGGCATAACACCCAGCTTTGACCATCTCACCAGCTGCAGGACAATGCCAGTCACCACTCCCCCAGCCACAAAGAAGGCGTAGGGAAAGTTGAGCAGCCCGGCACCAAGGGCAGCATTCACCACGATGAACACAGCCCCGTGGGCCGGCGTGCCTCCTTCCCGTTTCCCACCGCGGCTCGCCGGGTTCCGCAGGAGACTGGTCTTCTCCTCAGCCTCTGGGCTCCAGCTCCAATCCTGCTGGTCACTGTTGACCGTGGCTTCATAGAACGCCATCGCTGCACAGACAGCGGACTGGAAAAAGAGAACCACGGCCTCAGCACTTAGTCAGCCATTCTGCTAGGCAAATGACATCAGATCCGAAATCTTTGAATCACGCACAGAGAAGTGAAAAATACGGACTTCCTCTTCGCTTTGTTCAGACTCAGCATCTAAAATAAAGAAGAGACAGAGAAAATGAAATAAGACAAATTAAAACAAAGAACACGGTGTATAATAATCCATATATGGAATCATAGAGTAATAGAAACACACAGCATGGAAACAGACCCCTCTGTCCAACTCACCCATGCTGACCAGATATCCTGAATTAATCTCTTTCCATTTCCTAGCATTTGGCCCATATCCCTCTAAACTCATCCTATTCATGTACCCATCCAGATGCCTTTTAAACATTGTAATTGTACCAACCTCCACCACTTCCTCTGGCAGTTCATTCCATACATGCACCACCTTCTGTGTGAAAAAGTTGCCCCTCAGGTCCCCTTTAAATCTTTCCCCTCTCACCTTATGCCATCAAGTTTTGGACTCTCCTACCCTGGGGAAAAGACCTTGCCTATTTACCCTATCCATGTCCCTCATGATTTTATAAACCTCTATAAGGTCACGCCTCAACCCCCGATGCTCCAGGGAAAATAGCCCCAGTCCTATTGCAGCCTTTCCCCATGGCTCAAACCCTCCAATCCTGGCAACATCCTTCTAAATCTTTTCTGAACCCTTTCAATTTCATAAATCCTTCCTATCATAAGCCTTCCTTTCCGCAACAGTGTAAACTTGGCTCAGTGGAAAATACAGTCACCTGATAGGGCATCCAGCCAAGCCTCTTTCCGGAGACAGGGATGAACAACTGGAGCAGGATGACACCCTTGCAGAGCTGAGGGAGTACAGCGCTGTCAGGGTATGGTGCCATCTTCTGGAGGTGACAAAACCAAGGCTCCATAAAAGGTTACAGAATCACAAAAGTGTTAAGGCACAGAAGAGAGGCCATTTGGCCCCTTGTCTGCACTGGTTCCCCAAATCAGCACTATGACTTTGCGCCATTCACCTGCCTTTTCCTTCTACCCTTACATATTTAAACAATCATCTAATTCCCTCTTGAATGCCTAATTGAACCTACATCCAAAACATTTCCAGCTAGTGTATTGCAGACCCAAACCACTCAAAGTGTAAAAGAAAAGTCTTTTCTCGCTTTACATTTGCTTCCATCACAAATCACTTTGAATGTATCCTCTAGTCCTTGATTTTTTTTAAAACATCCACTCATGGGAAGTTGCTGGCTGGGCCAGCATTTATTGCCCATCCCTAACTGAAGAGTCAACCACAGTGTTGAGAGTCTGGAGTCACATGTAGGCCAGACCAGGTAAGGATGGCAGTTTCTTTCCCTAAAGTTCCCTGCGTACAGTTCTGGTCACCACACTACCTGAAGGATGTGGATGCTTGGAGAGGGTACAGAAGAGGCTTACCAGGATATTGCAAGGTATGGGGGATTTTAGCTATGAAGAAAGCTTGGATAGACTGGGTTTCACTGGAACACAGGTGGTAGAAGTTTATAAGACCTGATGGACGTTTATAAGACTGTGAATGGCACAGACAGACGGGAAATTATGAGGCTTCACCTCACCCACCCCCCCACCAATTACGAGAGGACACAGGTTTAACGTGGGGAAGGGGAAAAGTTGAAAGAGATGTTCAAGGCACATTTTTCACACAAAGGGTGTTGAGTGCCTGGAACATGTTGCCAGAGGTGGTGGTGGTGGAAGCAGACACAGTAGCAGCATTCAAGAAGCACCTGGATGAAACATGAATAGGAAGGGAATAGAGGGATACAGATCCTCTAAGTGAAGGCAGTTTTAGCATGGAAGGGCAAAGTGTGTTGGCACAGGTTTGGAGGGCCAAAGGGCCTGTTCCAGTGCTGTATTGTTCTTGTTCTTGTTCTAATTCTAAAGTCCCCACAGTCCCCCTCCCTTCTCTTTATCCCCACAGCCTCCACTCCCCTCTCCAATTCCTTCCCTAAAAAACCTAGATAGGTTTTTCTGACAATCAACAATGAATTCATGATCATCATTAGACTCCTAATTCCCAGATTTTTTTTGTATATTGAATTTAAATTCCACCGTCTGCCACGATGGGATTCAAACCTGGGTCCCCAGAACATTACCTGGGTCTCCAGATTAACGATCCAGCAATTATACCATTAAGCCATCATCTCCCCCAGATTCTGTTGAGTGGGAATGTGTTTTTCTCATCTATCTACTTTAATTGGCCCCCTCATGATTTTGAAAACTTCTATCTGATCTTGTTTTAGCCTTCCCATCTTCAAGTAGAACAGTCCCAATCTCTTCAATCTATCCTCTGACGTTTCTCAGCCCTGGAACCATTCTTGTGTAAATCACTTCTGTCTCCCCAGCGCAATCACATCCTTACTATAATGTGGTGCCCAGAACTGCATTCAATACCGAGGTCCAACAAGTATCTTGTACAAGTTCAACATCACTTCCTTGCTCTTGTACTCTGCCCTTGTTAATAAAGCTGAGGATACCTGATACTTTATCAACTACTCTCTCCACCTTAAAACCGAAATAACTGCGGACACTGTAATTCAGGAACAAAAACAAAGTTGCTGGAAAAGCTCAGCAGGTCTGGCAGCATCTGTGAAGGAAGAAACACAGTTAACGTTTCGGGTCCAGTCAGAACGTTCTGAGGAAGGGTCAGTGGACCCGAAACGTTAACTCTGTTTTTTCATTCACAGATGCTGCCAGACCTGCTGAGCTTTTCCAGCAACTTTGCTTTTGTTACTCTCTCCAAATATCTTGCCACCTTCAATGATCTACGCACATATACAGCCAAGTCCTTCTGCTCCTGTACCTCCTTTAGAATTGTTCTGTTTATTTTGTGTCATCTGTCCACACTCTTCTTATCAAAATGCATCACCTTAGACTTCTTTGCATTGAACTTTATCTGTCTGCTCCACCAACTCATCGTGTCCTTTTGGAGTTCCACACTGTCCTCCTCACAGTTTACAATTCTTCTTCTGCAATTTCATGTCATCTGCAAACTCTGAAATTGTCCCCTCCATACCAAGTAGATAACTTATTGAGGAAAAGCAACTGTCCAAATTATGACACCTGGGATCTCCACTATAAACATTCCTTCAGCCCAAAAATATCCATTAACCATTACTCTGTTTCATATCACTCAAACCAATCTTATTTCCATGTTGGTACTTTTTATTTCAAGAGCTATAATATTCCACACAGGTCTGTCGTGTGGCATTGAATCAACTGCCTTTTGAAAGTCCATGTACTCTACATCAACAGTATCAACCCTTTCAATTAGCTCTTCAAAAAAGAAAGGTACTCCAGCAAGTTACTTAAATACGACTTCCTCTTAAACGTGAGGTGTTACATTCTGGTGGGGCAAATCAGGGCCGGACTTATACACTTAATGGTAAGGTTCTGGGGAGCGTTGCCAAACAAAGATCTGGGGGTGCAAGTTCATAGTTTCTTGTTCATAGACAGGTTAGTGAAGGCGGCGTTTGGTACGCTTGCCTTTATTGGTCAGTGCATTGAGTATAGGATTTGGGAGGGCATGTTCCTTTATTCATTCACGGGATGAGGGCATCGCTGGCTAGGCCAGGATTTATTGCCTATTCCTAGTTGCCCAATGAACAATTAAGAGTCAACCCCATTGCAGTGGGTCTGGAGTCAAATAAATGCCAGACCAAGTAAGGATGGCAGTTTCCTTCCCGAAAGGACAACAGTGAACTTTTAGAGTTCACTAGGGTCCAGCTGTACAGGACATTGGTTAGGCCACTTTTGGAATACTTCATTCAATTCTGGTCTTCGTGCTATAGGAAAGATATTATGAAACTTGAAAGGGTTCAGAAAAGATTTACAAGGACGTTGCTAGGGTTGGAGGGTTTGAGCTACAGGGAGAGACTGAATAGGCTGGGGGTATTTTCCCTGGAGCATCAGAGGATGAGGGGTGACTTTATAGAGGTTTTATAAAATCAGGAAGGGGCATAGACAGGAAGAATAGCTAATGTCTTTTCACCAGGGTTGGGGAGTTCCAAAACTACAGGGCATAGGTTTAAGGTGAGAGGGGAAAGATCTAAAAGGGACCCAAGGGGAACCATTTTCACACAGAGAGTAGTGCACATATGGAATGAGCTGCCCAAGAAGGTGTTTGCAGCTGGTACAATCAGATCATTGAAAAGGCATCTGGATGGGTACATGAAAAGGAAGGGTTTAGAGAGATATGGTCCAAATGCTGGCAAATGGGACTAGATTAATTTAGGATATCTGGTTGGCATGGACAAGTTGGACCGAAGGGTTTGTTTCCATGCCGTACAACTCTATGACTAACACGTCCTTCTCCCACATCACTATTAAATCTATCCTGAATAATTGTGTTCAGAAGCTTTCCAACACTTAGCTTAACAGTCAAGGCATCACAGAGTATTTGAAAGAATAAAGAAACCTTATCATGCAGTGTCCTGGTCAATATTTAATCGTTTATCAACATTATCAGAGAATCTAACAATTAGCACACTGCAATGCACTTACTGGTTGCAGCATTTCAGTGACTACAATTTAAAAGTGATGCAGTTTCTTTGAGGTAAAACTGTGTCAGTACAGCATGGCCTGAATACTTCTCTCTATATTTACACGTGCAACATGTACTGCAAAGATTGGATTATTGTTGAGATGGGTGTCTTTAAGTTCATTAACACCATGTACAGTGATAGAATATCTTTGTGGCCTCTGTACTTATGTTACTACTGCATTATATACAGAGCTGACTCGTTGACTTACTGACTGACAGCTTAACTAACTAAAACAATAAGATGGAGGCCTTTTATACTACAGTGTCACATGCCATGATGGTAACCAACTGCCTTAAAAAGGCACAAAAATCTTTGAGATTCACACAATATTACAAACTGTTGACTTAGTTATACAGCACTAAGATGAACGAAAGGAGCCCCTTCCATTAAGTTGTCTTTCTTTCTGATTAACACAATTGAGCAAACATCCACAGTGGTTTTATCAATATTAGCAGCTGAGCCACTGAAACGTAAGCAGCGTGTGAGCCCATCCCATGGCGGCTTATGCAGTGGGAACTAGGTGTCAGCAATATGCACCCTGTTCAACTCAGATAAATAATGTCCACTGGGCTGCTCAGATCCCCCATGACACCTACAACAAAATTCTGGAGATCTGAAGTATAAACAGAAAGTGCTGGAGAAACTCAGCTGGTAATGGCAGCATCTGTGGAGAGAGCAAAAACAGAGTCAGGTTTCACTGAGGAGTCAAAACCGAAAAGAACTGCGGGTGCTGTAAATCAGGAACAAAAACAGAAGTTGCTGGAAAAGCTCAGCAGGTCTGGCAGCATCTGTGAAGAAAAAGAAAGGGTCTAAGGGTCACTGGACCCAAAAACGTTAACTCTGAGACAGTAGGAACTGCAGATGCTGGAAAATCTGAGATAACAAGGTGTAGAGCTGGATGAACACAGCAGGCCAAGCAGCCTTCCTGCTCCTATGATGCTGCTTGGCCTGCTGTATTCATGCAGCTCTACACCTTGTTATCTCAACGTTAACTCTGATTCTTCTCTTCACAGATGCTGCCAGACCTGCTGAGCTTTCCCAGCAACTCCTGCTTTTCGTTCACTGAAGAGTCACTGGGCTCACACTGCAGAGTATTCCCAGCAGTTTCTATCAGGATAACATTAATAACAGCGGCCACTGACTCACCATTTGATAAGGTGATGTGAAGGTATTTTAGGAAGAGGTGTTTATTATCCAGCCCTGAGGAAATGTCTATCAGCTCTCCTTAAAACTCAGAGCAACAAGCAGACCCCTCTCCCTACCAACAAAGTACCTAGACCCAGTTGGTGCCCATGGCCCACTGATTGCCTTCCATTTCCCCCCCCCAATTACCTGCAGGACACTCCCTGGAGCCGGCTCTCTCTCTACCCTCCACTTCGCCGCCGCTGTCACATGACTCCAGGTCTCCCCACGTGACCGGATTTACGGCCGGGGTCTGTCGCGGGGCACGCCGGGAGTTGTAGTCCACCCCATCCGCTCTGGCCGTGAGGCCCCCAGGCGGCTGGGAAAAGGCAGTGCGGGCAGTCTGGCCGGCTTGGGTCCTCATAATTTCCTAGTCCCATTCCCTCATTCAAATATCTGTCCCTTTTCCCCTTTCTACCAAATACTTCAGGATTGCACAGAGATGGGAGCAGGGTCAGAACACAGTCTAGGCTCATTACGCGATGAGACCTCAGGAGCAGAGTTGCATTGTTTGATCCATCTCCTGAATGTAGGGGGAGTTATGGGGCTTGGGGCTTCAAATCCAAACGGGAGAAAGTCCTCAATAAAATAAAGAACTGCGGATACTGGAAATCTGAAACCAAAACAGAAACTGCTGGAGAAACTCAGCAGGACTGAAGAAGGGTCACTGGACTCAAACCGTTTTCTCTCCACAGATGGTGCCAGACCTGTGAATTTCCACATCAATTTCTATTTCTGTTTCAAAGACCTCTCTTGTTTTCCTATTCCTCCTATTTACACTTAGCTTTCTCATTACCATCAGTCTGTAAACAAGCCCAGCTCCATTTCACAGTTGCAATGGAAGAGGAGGTTGTAGGATGGCATGAGAAGGAAGAGAAAGGAAAAATGAAGTGGGAACTGTTAAGGCATTCAACATCTCAGGCTCTCTTCTCACCTCCCCAAGAGACAGCCTCCCATCCAGACTCAGGGCCATCGGAGCAGGGCAATGGGCAGCATGTCCCCAGATCTGTCAGATGGTAGATGTAGGATTCATAGAAACAAGGACAGTTTGCAGTTGATAAGCTATCAATCACATTGCCAGCATTACTGAATGTGGAATTGTAAATGAATCAAAACATTATTTAAACTCTGCTTTACAATGCCACCTCTGGCTTAGCATTGCAATCTCTGCCTGGACATCACCGTTTAGGAGAATGGAATGACCAGAATGGAGGACGGGCAGAGGGTGTGAATGTGCTAAAAGGCTTTTTGAGTGGGAGTGATTTGTGTTTGCAGTGGCTGAGTGTTTAGCATTTGAATTCAGGTTATCTAAAGTGACCCTGTGTAAGGACACTGAGGGCCTCTCTAGGGCCTCTGTAGCTGAACAGCCACAGGTAGCCTGGTCAGGTCAGGCTCTGCCTCAGAAGATGCTGAGCAGACTGTGCTTTCCGCCTCCTCCAGTTTCTTCTTGTTGTGCAAGGTTCAGAGACCAGGATCATTTCCGAAAGCCTTGCTGGTGTACATTGAAACCCCTTCCCACAGATAAATACCTGAGGGTGCCCAGAGGGCACTTTGACTGCTATGTGAGTGTAGTCAATGACTCCTTGGACTGTGGGGATCCAGAGCTGTTGCAAACATAAGCTTCCCCCTATGTCAGACAGAACTAGGCAGTGTCAAAATGGAGGCCTTAGCAAACATAGTCACCTCACGGAGATATATACAGCAAACTTTTTTTTTTGAAAGCCGGTTCTAATAGGACCGGCAGTGTGCCGGTTGATCAAGAGTCTGCATAATCTATGTAAAAACACAAACTTAGTAATAGAAACGCAACATCACTGTTGTATTTTGTTTACAGCATAAATCAGTTAAAAAATAGTGCAACTTTGCCTTACGTAAAACTTACTGGTGGAGAGTCTTTTCACTCCAACCCCCAACTGACTACTCGGACATTGCGATAATACAAGAAACCTTGGATATTTGAGGTACATAATTTCTGCTGGTTTATTGAATGTGCCAGTTCATACACCACTGATGCTGAAGTCACGGTCATAGAGCTGTATTGCATGGAAACAGACCTTTTGGTCCAATTCATCCATGCCGACCAGGTATTCTAAATTAATTTAGTCCCGTTTGCCAGCATTTGGCCCATATTCCTCTAAATCCTTCCTATTCATGTACCCATCCAGATGCCTTTTAAATGTTGTAATTGTACCAGCCGCCATCACTTCCTCTGGCAGCTCATTCCATACACACACCACCCTCTGTGTGAAAAGGTTGTCCCTTACATCCCTTTTAAATCTTATCCCTCTCACCTTAAACCTATGTCCTCTAGTTTTGGACTCCTCCACCTTGGGGAAATGTCCTTGTCTTTTAACCCTATCCATGTCCTTCATGATTTTATAAACCTCTGTAAGATCACCCCTCAGCTTCTGACGCTCCAGGGAATATAGCCCCAGCCTATTCAGCCTCTCCCTATAGCTCAAATCTCTGACCCCAGGAACATTCTTGTAAATCTTTTCTGAACCCTTTCAAGTTTCACAACATCCTTCCTATAGCAGGGAAACCAGAATTACACGCAGTATTCCAAAAGTGGCCTAACCAATGTCCTGTACAGCCGCAACACGACCTCCCAACTCCTATACTCAATGCACTGACCAATAAAGGTAAGCGTAACAAATGCATTCTTCACTATCCTGTCTACCTGCGACTCTACTTTCAAAGAACTATGAACCTGCACTCCAAGATCTCTTTGTTTGGTAACACTCCCCAGGACCTTACCATTAAGTGTATTAGTCCTGCCCTGATTTGCCTTTCCAAAATTCAGCACCTCACATTTATCTAAATTAAACTCCATCTGCTACTCCTTGGCCCATGGCCCATCTGATCAAGATCCCATTGTACTCTGAGGTAACCCTCTTTGCTGTCCATCAATTTTGGTGTCATCTACAAACTGACTAACTATACCTCTTTTGTTCACATCCAAATCATTCATATAAATGCAAAAAGCAGTGGACCCAGCACCGATCCTGTGCCACACTGCTGGTTACAGGTCTCCAAGTCTGAAAAGCAACCCTCCACCACCAACCTGTTTTCTACCTTCAAGCCAGTTCAGTATCCAAATGGCTAGTCCCCCCTATATTTCATGTGATCTAACCTTGCTAACCAGTCTACCACGAGGAATCTTGTCGATGGCCTTTCTGAAGTCCATGTAGATCACATCCACCACTCTGCTGTCATCAATCCTCTTCAAAAAACTCAATCAAGTTACTGAGACACGATTTCCCACGCACAAAGCCATGTTGACTCTCCCTAATCAGTCTTTACCTTTCCAAATACATGTAAATCCTGTCCCTCAGGATTCCCTCCAACACCTGGCCCACCACGATGTCAGGCTCAGTGGTCTATAGCTCCTTGGCTTTTCCTTACCATCTTTCTTGAATAGTGACACCACCTTAGCCAAGCTCCAGTGTTCTAGCACCTCACCTGTAGCTATTGATGCTACAAATACCTCGGCAAGTGGCCCAGCAATCACTTCCCTCACTCCCCACAAAGTTCTAGGGTACACCTGATCAGGTCCTGGGAATTTATCCACCTTTATGTGTTTCAAGACATCCAGCACCTCCTCCTCTGTAATATGAACATTTTTCAAGATGTTGCAATTTATTTCCCCTCACTATTTTCCATGTCCTTCTCCACAGTAAACACAGATGCAAAATACTCGTTTAGTATCTTCCCCATCTCCTGTGGTTCTGCATAGATATCGCCAGCAGACCGATGGATGGAGTGAAAATGAGGAGATTCAGTACCATGATGGCAGCCACTGGCATTGCAGGCCCAGCAGTTCCAGGAGACTGCAGATGTCCTGCTGTGAGAGAACATAAGAACATAAGAACTAGGAGCAGGAGTAGGCCGTCTGGCCCTTCGAGCCTGCTCCGCCACTCAATAAGATCATGGCTGATCCTTTCGTGGACTCAGATCCACTTACCCGCGTTCTCACCATATCACTTAATTCCTTTATTGTTCAAAAAAAATCTACGTTTTTTTTAAAAACATTTACTGACGTAGCGTCAACTACTTCACTGGGCAAGGAATTCCATAGATTAACAACCCTCTGGGTGAAGAAATTCCTTCTCAGTTCAGTCCTAAATCTGCTCCCTCTAATCTTGAGGCTATGCCCTCTTGTCCTAGCTTCACCTGCCAGTGGAAACATCCTCTCTACTTCTATCTTATCTATTCCCTTCATAATTTTATATGTTTCTATAAGATCCCCCCTCAATCTTCTGAATTCCAATGAATATAATCCCAATCTACTCAGTCTCTCCTCATAAACCAAGCCCCTCAACTCCGGAATCAACTTAGTGAACCTCCTTTGCACCCCCTCCAGTGCCAGTACATCCTTTCTCAAGTAAGGAGACCAAAACTGCACACAGTACTCCAGGTGTGGCCTCACCAGCACCTTGTACAGCTGCAACATAACCTCTCTGCTTTTAATCTCAATCCCTTTAGCAATGAAGGACAAAATTCCATTTGCCTTCCTAATTACTTGTTGTACCTGCAGACCTACCTTCTGTGATTCATGCACAAGGACACCCAGGTCCCTCTGCATAGCAGCATGCTGCAACTTTTTACCATTCAAGTAATAATCCTTTTTACTATTACTCCTACCAAAATGTATGACTTCACATTTATTTACATTGTATTCCATCTGCCAGACCTTTGCCCACTCACTCAATGTATCTATGTTCCTCTGCAAAGTTTCACAGTCCTCTGCACACTTTGCTCTGCCACTCATCTTAGTGTCATCTGCAAACTTTGACACCCTACACGTGGTCCCCAACTCCAAATCATCTATACAAATTGTAAATAATTGCGGTCCCAACACCGATCCCTGAGGCACACCACTAGTCACTGACTGCCAGCTAGAATAGCACTCATTTATCCCCACTCTTTGCTTCCTGTTAGTCAACCAATCCTCTATCCATGCTAATACTTTACCCTTAACGCCATGCATCCTTATCTTATGCAGTAGACTCTTGTGTGGCACCTTGTCGAAGGCCTTTTGGAAATCTAGGTACACCAC